ATCGATTTGTCCGATTATGTAAATTGAAGAATCGAATGGAGCCACATGTGTGTACCTAACCACAAATGCACGTTTTATTCAAATTGCGAAAATTGTATCTCATCCATCTTGATGGGATTATTACTACATACTTCAACACAACCCTTACCGTTGTTATTTATTTAGTCGAAACTTCATCGCTCTCCAAATCGAGAGAGGCAACCAAATTAGAACAACACACAGAAAGTTGTTCCCATACAATACAATATTTATCCATTACGTCAATGTCCATCCCAACGAAGGGAACCTTCCCGAAGGCAAATAATAATAGTCCAAATACTAATCCAAACAAAAATTGTACGCTTGCAAAAAATAGAATGCCTTCATTATTCCGAAGGAAAACGTCAGCCGAACGTAACATGTCCAATTTTTATCCTTGTTATAAGGGGATGGGTACATAAACAGAATGTCATCACGTGTTCCTATTACGCTAACAAAGAGATATTTCCTTTTTTCACAAATGTCGACCATAATTAAAATCTGTTGGCGTTTTTTAATAAGACGTGAGAAATGTTAGCCTCCCGGTGCAATAAAATAACTCCGCAGGTATCTTTGAAACGTAAAATGCAAATAACGCCTTAAATTTAATTGGATTTTTAACTCTGTGAAATTTAATTACCGTTGAAAATTAAATATTGATTTTAGGGTAATTAAGAAAAACTAAATAAAATCTATTCTGAGGTAGGGTCGGCACGCAATTATCAGCACCTGCCTGTGAGGGTTAACGTGTTCATTTGACAGAATGGCGGAGGCGCCGGGCCATTTGATATTCGCTTTAAAAACTTAAATTGGCAGATGCATCCGATCAGCATTTATAATTATGTTCGTGCTTGTTCACAAACGAGTAAACATTTGCCGCCAATCACCTACGTTGCCGCGGTAAATTGTCATCTCTCGATTTTCTAATTACTCCCAGAAACAACAATCGGATGAAAATTGCGCATCGACTAATTTAAAGTTTGATGGAAGGTTGTTTAGTGCGGTAAACAGCAAACACTATGTATGGTAATAAGCTTCTGGTTTGTACTGATATCACTTGATTTATTCAACGCTTCTTGTCATTTTCATTAATGTATTCTATGTAATGAATTTCGATTGCGATATAAAAATTACACAGTTACTGACAGTTGATAGAACGAGTGCTTTTCGAGATAACAAATTATGTTGCTTTTTTCAATCTGTGCGAGTAATTAACTTGTTTTATGGAACGTAAGTGGAGTGGTCCTGATTTTAACAATAGAAAATGAATTTGTCGGCTTTTTGGTAATTAATGGGTGGACTGATTAATGGAAACTTGTCAAGTGGTGCAAAGATTAGATTAAAGAAATATGGAGGAGTGAAATGGGTTGGAAAGTGCCGATGTGGGCATTATTTTTGAAAAGTCGAGTTAAAATTTTAACACGCCCGATTAAACCTTGTTAAAATTAATCGATATTACAAAAATAAATTGTTATTAGATTCGGTGTATCTGCGTTTCGTCGGTTTACACTAATTTTTATTTATTGCTTTTGTATTGATTTTAAGTTGTTTCTAATAATGGAAGTGCGCGTTTCTGTCACTAGGGAGGTCCTCATACTTTTAGTTTTATTTGAGATGAGAATATACGTATTCCCATAACACGACCATGTATAATTTATTGGCGATACATTTGAAAAATGTTCGCATACTTTGAACCTGAGATGTTTAGTTTGTTATGATTATATTCATAAACTTGGGATGATTTATTTCAGTATAAATATATTTCAAAATGTTTTGATTTTGTTGACGTCAGATATTAAATCAAAATGGGCGGCATTAAACTTTTAGAGTATAAATCATGCATCAAATACGTCATTTCAGTGGAAATTTTAACTGAAACTTTATTTCCGGGTTGATTTTATGTATAAAAGGCTTTTGTTCCAACTTTCAGATGCAGGGCGCTGAAGTCATTTAAAATTAAACGTAAAACAGGTAATTTAGGCGATTTTGCAGAGTTGCAGAATTCTAGTCTTTTTCTACAAATTACCGTTGAGGATTTTCGTTTAAGTTAAAAAAAAATCAAATTGATGCTGATAAATAATAATTGCTGTGTATAATATAGCAGTGCCAAAGTAATTGTGATTGATGTTCGGGAACTACGTTAATTGTTAGGGGACTTGATTGCATTTTGACATCGTGTACCTCTTACGTTTAATTCCAGATTCGATTATAGACCTTCCAATTGTTAGCAACTCCGTCATTGGCGATAATTATGAACCATCCTTCTGCTCGCTGCTTACGAAACCATGCAAAATCATTAAATTACAATGCTAGAACGAGACTTCAAAGTCTCTTCGTGCCTTATTGAACCATCCGTACCGTTCCGTCGAAAATTTAAATAAGTTCTTGATTGATATTGGTTAAAGAGCTTGCCAGAAACTATCACACCCGAAATCAGTTTCAAACAACTCATTATAGCTATCGCCGAACATATTCTCACATGATAGATTCACTTTGCCGCAAACAAAGCGTTTACATCAATTTGTCTTGTCATTAGATATCAGACGACGTGCGTTACACTCGACTGCATGTAACAGGATCCATTTTTTTCAAATTTTTTCCTAGATTTTTTTTTCATATTTTTGTTTACGCTCGCGCTCGAAGAACATCAAGGGATGAATGTTGGACATTAATACTGTCTGTCAGAATCGGGAGATACATTATTTTTTGCAGATGTATAGTTGATACGCCATACATTGTGTTCTATTGTTGGGCGTCGCTTGTCGACAGAACTACTAAACAAGAAATTATACTCGAGATAAATATCAAGAAATAAGAGCCGAGACTCGTGTTGCACACTTTGTTCTTGGCAGGTTATTGTATTTCACAATGGGTGAGTTTAAATGCCAGGGTTTGGATTTTGCAGTAGGTGAAAAATGTGCCAACCTACTTAAACTGTAATTGCAATTTAGTTAATTGAGTGCTTTTTGGGGAAAGTTTAATCTGGTTGCATTATTTTAGCGCACGCAAAATATTCATCATTGCTGGGGTTGGGTACGTGGGCGGGGGTTGACGCGTAAAATATTGCTATCCTCTTTTTGTATTGTATGAATAATTGCTAACATGAAGAAAGTAATTTGGCATATTTTTTAACGCCAGTTTAAACGATTAATTAAATTTACGATTGGGGAGAGTTTTGAAAACGTAAGGTTTGTCGCGAATTAGTCCACATATTCCAAAACCACTGTCTTTTGTTTCTACTTATTATTATGTTGCATATTTTATGGTAATGAATATGATGGTGCATGCTCGTTCACGTTTCTCTAAAATGAACAAATTATAAAATTAATGAAATATAAAACAGTGGCGATATAAATTCAGAATTCGACCTCATAATTCATGTAATTTCCATATCCAAATCTAAATGAATTCAAAAGAGTCAGTGAACAGACATATCTGAAATGGAACAGCATTTAATGTAGGTTGATTTCTTGATATTTAAATTGACTTTTTTGCTTATTTTGTCGACATGATTATTACTCAGAACAGAATTCACAGCGCTCTTAACCATTCCGAATATCGAAGTACTGAATATTTTCATCTGAACTACGTATTCCATTTCCTAGCAATTTCGTCATGTTTCCCTTTTAGATGGTAAACGATATCATAAGATCATTTTAAATATATCATCGTTGTATTTGCAGTAAACAATCAAATCTAGTAGACACTACAAGAAAAATTCAAAAACTTATTTCCAACAGTAATAAATGGCGTGACGGTTTGTCAAGGAATCATAATTCAATCAACATAATTTTATTTGTTCAAATTTTCCTTGATTACCAAGGGCTGCGTTAATTACGGATAGAATAAGTCTTGCAAATTAAGGCCAACAAGAAAGTAATTTGTTCAACGTCCAACTTCAAACAAAAAAAATTGAAAGGATGTTGGGCTGATCAAATGGAAAATATTCTTTTGTTATTAAGGATGAACTAACTTTTTAACATTGTTTGAAATTACTGAATGCAATTAAGGGTGATAAATTCATTTACTTCTCCTGGTTTTCGATTCTCGCTTTAATTTTTCTCGCACCGAGTCTAGAAATCATCTGAATAATGCAAGTTTACCATCACCGTGATGAATTCAGTAAAACTTTTTCCATTTTTCAGCGAAATTGTGTTTCTCTGTAATATCGAGCAAAGCATCAAAACGGTAGTATCGAACCATGCGATTCCGAACAGCAGGTCGTCTGTCCCTCGGGAATCAAACATTTTCCCAATTTGACTCCACATTATGTTGTTTAGTGTGTCTGTGGAAGTAAACGCAGCAAGAAGCAAAAAGTGAAAAATAAAATAATTAGAAAAAAACTTTTCTGTAGTTGAAATTGTGTGTCGGTTTATCACCCACGCGAAATCGTAATAGGGTAATAAATTAGATAAAACAGAAATAAAACTCGGTTACTTGGTTAGGGCGATAATTGTAATTCTATTAAGATAAATCTACTCGGGTTATTTGGTCGCGTTTATTTCCAGATTCCTACGGGTCGAATTTCTCGAGAAATGAAATCGACGAGAGGTTTTACTGGCGTTTGAGTATTTGAGGTGTCCTTTTACGAGATTTTGGTACGATTCTCGGTTGTTTCAGAACTATTTAAAAAGTGGGTGGTGGATGTTAGAGACAAAGGAATAAAGGAAACGATAATTTCCAATGAAATAACCATTCCTCCAAAAGGCAAACGCTCATTTTTTCCTCCCTTTCATTAAAACTGGCAAATAATTTGCAGCAGAATTACGTTCGAATGCGTCCGAAATTGCTCAAAGTTTCCTCAAATATTTACCGGTGATTCCTGTAGCCATCAACTTTTCACCAACGGGACGATGTAATTACTCAGAAACTTTTCGACAAACTTAAACATTTCATCAAGCTTATTGTAAATAAATAATTGGGAGGATCAAAGTTGAGAAAAGTTTAAAAATAAGTTCTCTTTTTAATTACAAGTTACTTACGGCAGTATAGAAGCCACAGGCGAAGCTCCCTTTTCGTACTGACCTCCAACAACACCACGAGTGTAAAATGGCCATATTTTGATGTCTTCACTTCATTGTTCGATGATTTTAATAGACTTTGAAAGGGAGTTCTCGGTTGATTGGTGTCGGCTGAAAATAACAGAATGCAACTTCAGACAGGAAGTTCGGAAACAAAGAAGGAAAACTGACTTTAAAAGGTTCATTAATGTTTGCAAGAATTATTGCTGACGTTAATCACCCGACTTTGAGCGGCCTTAATGTAAATGTTTGTTGCCGACGATGGCTGGACTATTTTAGGAATCTGCGCTACAAAATGCTGCATCCTCATGTATTTTTAATACTGTTAAAGTTTTAAAAAATTTGTCGTACCTACTGGAGATTTTTTTTCCTGTCGTTGTTTATTTAACCTTGCCAACATGTTCTTCGTGCATGCGATGAAGATGAAAGCGTGTTTATACCTGCCTGCTTCGGTGTTAAATCATCTGGAGCTCATAAATTTAAATATTTAGCAGCTGCTGGAACTTTTTAGGGTAATTTATCCTAGAACTATAATTACTTTACAGGCGCGTTAAGGCGTGGAGATTATTTTTGAATTAGCTACTTATAAGTTTTGGATTATTTTTAACATTTCAACTTGGTACATTTTGTATGAAATGTGTTCACTTTTTTATGGGGTGAGTTTGATCCATTTATGAGAAGTTGGCGTTAATTAAAACTTTCCTTTTAAATTATTTATAAAATTTTAACGCAGTGTAATGTAGTATGGTAACTTCGAGAGTTTCTTTATTACTTACATTGGGTTAAAGTATAAACGTAAAATGACTTATTCAGAGCGTTATTTATTATTAAAACGTCCACACCGAGGAGTAAAACCAAAAAAAGTTGGCAAAATAATTTGATTTATGCGATGTAATGAATGTTTTTTTAATGAAATGTCAAAAGAAAATTTATTGTCAATTTTTGTTGAAAAAGTTAATCGTATTGCTACATAATGTATAATTTCAGATTTGTTGTCGATAAAATTCACTCCATAAATTAGTATATGTCCACATTTGATGTTTGTGAATAAAAGCACGGACTTTCAGACACCGTGTTCGCATTGATTTTATGAAAACCTATTTTGTTTGGACTACTGTTTTTTTTCAGTTATAGCTAGCAGCTAGAACATTATTTGAAACCTCAAAAGCACTCGTCTATTTTAATAATTCAGTTGCTTTAATGGATGTTTACCATTGAAAATTCAACAAAGCTTTAAATTTTCATATTTCAATGATTCAGTTTAGTGCTTTGTGGCATATTTATTCTAATTTGTAAGTTACTTGTTCAAATACCAATTAGAAAAAAAAAACAAAGGCAATAAACCTTAATGTTATACATACAATATTTATACATAGCGCGAAAAACAATTTCAATAAATATTCGAGAAGGCAGCTACACACGTCAGAGCAAGTATAATGTCCCTTTTAAACGGCATACAACTCAGGAAACTGGAAAATTATTTACTAACTGTGTTAAAGTTATGAATTTTTCCAACTAAAGAGAATAAAAACTTGGAGTAAAATGCTGCGGAGCTAATTAAGATGCTAGGAGAGAAGAAAAATGTAGAAAATATATAGCTCCCAAGAGGTTTATGTATTCATTTGTTTTGTAATAAATACGGATTTTTTTTACACAAATTCAGGTCTAAATAGTAAATAATAGTAATAATAATACTTTATTGCGTTACCATACTTGGTTTCAGCTCGTCAAAGCCAAACTAAAAAACATATGCCTATGTATAATCTAAAACCAATGTGAATATGACGGAACGAAACCCACAAGACGGTAATCTAATTTTAATTTCCGTTTATCACCACAATATCACTACTAGCCACAGTATCCCAAAAATTTTAACAATTATGATAGTCACACAAATCAATAGGTACCACTTGCGGTGGAAGATTCAGGAGACATAACGAGTTTAAAGTTCTCCTATTCTTATTAATGATTCAGACGTATTTGTTTGTTTGTATTTTAAAAACGAAGGAAAACATATTCGATTGAATTTCGATTAATGATTTTCCATTTTTAAAAATATTTTTCCTATTGTTCGTTCCACTTTGTTTTGCCAGCGTACAAAACCCCTAGGCAATGCATTTTATATGGGAGAATTGGAGCGGTGTTGTCAGTTTATAAGTATATGAATCTTACAAAAATTATAAAGTTTTGGTCATTCCGTTTCTATGCGTGTTAAATTTTTAAAAAAATAAAGGTAACCAATAAGAGGTTTGAAATCAAATCAAGCGTCAAAGAATGCGTCAATGCGACATATCTCAGTTAATGCCGCATCCAGAAAAAATTTAAAGACACTACTGTTAAAAAAAAGACAAAATTTTGAATAGTTTTTAGATATGTCGTGATAAAAACCAAAATTATGAAAATTGACGAAATAGTTAATTCCATTTATTATGAATTTTATTGGTGTGATTAAATGTTGCTAAAGATTTTCAAGTATAAGAAAATTTCTAATATTTCCGCTATAAAAAAAAATCAATACGGTGTTCATAAGAAACAATAAAATCAATGCTTGTTACCCCGAATTTTAGCCGGTAAAGATGTAATTAACAACTCCCCGAATGCTTCGTGTAATCTGATATCTTGGCATGAAGTACAAAATTAATTATTTATTCGCAAAATAATTTGAATTTGTAAAAATTAAGAGTTTCTTAGTTTTCCAAAATTGTTTCCCATTAACAAAATCGATCTTCTCTCTGTTCGAAATTTTGTGAAAGTAGTAACTTGTTTAGAATTTATTATTGGAATACTCAGTATTAAGACACATTTACTCCAGCAGGAATTTAATAACACGTTTTTGATTTGATTTTTATAAAAAAAATATTATTAAATACACATTTAATGAAAGTATTCGTTGACGTACATGCGATATTAGTCAGGTGCGAGGCGGAAATGATTTGCATAAATATTGTTACATATTTTTATTATTTTGTTGTTTAAGGTCGTGTTGGGCAGCGCGCTGAAATCTGGAAGCGGCGACAATTTGTTTTACAAGCAGCAGATGGTCGGTAAGTGACCCATTCAATTTTTGCCCAAAAATCGATTCCACAATTATTTTAGGAATAGTATGTATTAAAAAAATAAAAATATACCATTCCGTGATTACCCAAAATCAAAACCCAAATCTTGCGTTTAGAAACCCCACATCGTTAAATTCTACGGTTTTTTTTAATTCTTTACGGAAATGGTTACAGTTTAAATTAAAATAATACAATTTTTAAAATCTCGACCGTCTAATTTTCTGCTATGTAATAACATTTTTTTTCTACAAAGTTAAAATTTAAAAGTTTTTTTACACAGCATTATGATAATGTGATGTTAAATTTTTGCCTTTGGTTATTTTTTTCCTATTTTTTTGTTTTCAGGGTATTTTCATAAAAATTCATTTTGTGTTAATGTCTGCTCTGGAGAAAGAATGTATTTTACGACTTTTGAACTCCAGTTACAAAACAGTTATCACGTTTCTTATTACAAAAACTTTCCAGTGAAATGCCACACGATAGGTAGCCACATTGCAAATAATAGAAGTGGTAGGGGCAACTAGAACTAGGTAACCCTAGAAACGTGGTTGCTACGTTTGCACTGAAATAATACCTGTACAATTACAATGACCTGAAGGACATTATTTGTATGAAACTCTTGTCATACCAAACGAAGGTATTAATTGGTTGAATTTTAATAAAATAAATGTTTACATGTTTAACAAAATTATTAAACACTTGCATTAATTCGTTTTATTAAATTTTATCAACCGATTTTTTTTAAATAGTAATAAAAAAAAATTGTAACATTTATTAAAATTACCGTAACGTCGAGACAGTGCCACCGTCTACATGGTCTAACTCCTTCAGTCCTCTTCAGCCCATTCCAGCGGAACGTCTCGACCGGTCCGTTTCTCTCATCAACTTTGAAACACACGTGTTTTTCAGCAAGAGCAGAGTTTCAGTCGGCGGCACGGGAAATCTGACGGGCCACTGAAACCGCCGTCACAGCAGCAAACTGCTATATCCACGATCCAGTCCTGAAACAAATTTAACAAGCGCATGCTTACGCCGCAGGTGGTTGAAACCGAACGAGTAGCGCTAGTTCAACTATTTCCTCGAAAACGTTATCTGGAGTAATCCAAGATGACCGTGATTTTCACTAGGGACTTTGCGGTACATTCCCTTAATTTTATTACCAGAATGGTTTAATATAATCGGAGGATTTAATCTTACCCTGGCGGTCCTCAAAGGCTGTAATGGTTACGACGAGAGATAAGTTCGACCTGAGTTATGGACGGGTGGTTCTACTAGGTTGGGTTGCCATTGTTATATTGTTAGTAATTGTTAAATTCCAGATAATTCGAACTCGTTATTTCGTTGCGAATGCAGCGTTCGTGTTAGTGTTTCGCGAAATTTTCACAGTTGTTGGAATTACAATTCCTCGGTGATTAAAAAGTGATTATTGAGTCTACTGCGTTAATTTAGCTTTTGGTGGAATTTTGTCGGTGTCGGAAACTGTATACCTAGAGATAATTACGCCCTCATTCCGAATTCGATTTGTTAAAGAAGGTATTCGACAACTCAATTTTCACCAGCGTTTAGTCGTTTCTGTTTACTTAAGTGTAGCTTCATCGATAATATTACAGTTTGTTTAGAGAAGCTGAGTACAGCGATTAACAGTTTGACAGTAAATACGAATATTGTGGATTTTGTATCACAAGAAAGTAAAATGATTAGTTCAAATATTTTGCTTTCGGGTTTCATCAAATCTAACTCATTTGTTTACTTTAAGGTTATCAAAGCTGTCTAGAAATTTTTCTGTAAACGGTGGAAGTTAATAAGTAAAGTTTCAATTTGATTCAAAAACTAATTTCCATCCTGGTTGTGCAGATACGTTTCTTACTGACACTAATCCTGCCTTGCCAGCGAAAGCTCAAAGAAATGACATACTGAGTTTTAACAATCCTCGTATACATGTGGGTTGAATCCCATTTCATATTATGTAGACTTAAATGGCTTAAAACGGAAGTTTAAATAGGGCTTTGTCAAGAGAAATTTTGTGAAATTTTAATTGTCAAATCCGGTTATCATTTCAATTTTGAAAATTTAACCTGTCAGTGAATTTAATGCTTTTGTCGACCAAAGTTTGATTTGAATTAGCTACATATTTCGTTGTAAGTAAAAAACATCTTACGACTTACCCCTTGAAAAGCTGTAGTTCAAAGGTGAATCTTTGGAAACCTATTGTTTCATGTTCAATGTAACAACGGTAGTTTATGTATTTTGCTTTATAGCATTGTTTATAAAATTTAACTTTAACTAGGCAATATGTGGTGGAGCATTGTCATGACGAAGAATCACATTTTGAAACTTCCATCTTTTTGTTTTTTGGTTTTTTTTTGCTAACCACACCGTCACCGTATGCGTTGTGAAACAAGCGTGCGAAGTGGTTGTTCCTTACAACGCTACTGACATATACAGGGCTCTTCCATTTCATCATCGAAAAAACCCATTTATTTATCACTCAGTTTTCTTGCTTCAGGGGGCAAAATTTCTGATTAAATTTGAACGACCCTCGTAGTACAAGAAACCTGTAAATTACAGCGAACAAAGAAATATTCAAAGCGAAAAAACGGAGTAAGCGTAACGTTCGGAAAACAACAAAGCAGAATTTTAAAATGACATTCGAATTAGCTTTGTTTCAACTTTTTTCTAAGTGAAAACTCGTGAAGGGCTGGATTTTTGCTGCATCCTGAAATTATTAACTCTACCACTAACTTTTCCTGGGGCTATTTATTTGGATAGGGGCTGTCAATAGTTCGCGCGGATAACATCTTTTAGCCAACTTCCAACATCCCAGAGGAGTCAGTTCGGAAATCCTCGGAACTCATCATCCTCTTCTCCGGTAGTGACAGTACTGATATTTTCTTTCTATGAACGATTATTTTATTACCCATTAATTTAGTCAAAGGAATCAGTACATGAGTTTCGATCGATTCACATATCCTTGAATTCCTTGTTATGTTCTGACTCAATCTAAGTATTATTTATAAATTCAAATGTAAGATCTTCACGTAATTAATTCTAAGTAATAACGGAGTAATTATCTGTTTTAATATTAAATCGCTATAAATACAAATTAGTTGGAAAAAAAACAAGTGGACAAAAAGTGTAAATTACGCTTTGTGTGACAGACGAAAATAAAGAGCCTGCGGTTATATATTTATCATATTAATATTTTTAATTAATATAACCGTATCCTTTCAAGGTAGGAAGCTTTGAATTACTGTTACCTGAAAACGTATTTAGATGTCAAAGCGACAAATCCTTTGTGCTTCCATTGCAGATTCATATTTATTCTAATACGGAATCATCTAATTAAGAATTTAGCTCCCTATCTTTACATTTACCTTTTGAGGTGAGGTTTATTTAACGACAAACATGTTATTGTAACCAAAATACGAATAGACGCATATTTTGCTCATACTTTCCGTATCTAATAACTCATCTGAAAATACCAAATATTCAGAGCTTCACATTTATCCGACTTTTGTGCCTAATAATTACATTATCTTTATCAAAGGCGCATTTGTTGTTTCTTTGTTTTCCGAAATAAACTAGTAATCTGTGCCTAATACGGATTTGGGTACGGTAAAATTTTTTCACTTCTTTGTTCAAACAATGATGGCAAATGTAACATCAAACGTGAAAGTTTAATTAACGTTTACTGCTGCCTCGGTTCTGATTTCTGATTTCCCAGATGACATCATAAACAAATAAATTGGGCGGCAGATAGTTTGTGAATAATTTTCAAAATAAACATCCCTTGTATACATTTTCTTAATTAAATTTTAGCTTCGACGGGCACATTTTCGCGCACACTCACTTAAATAAATAATTTTTGAAGCTTTTCTAAATATTTAACCCGAATCATCCGTCATAAATGTTTCATATAGTTTGTTTTCGCAAATGGCGAGTGGAGGCGGTGTATACAGTTTTTCTAGTTAATACAAATAAAATGTCTTCTATCTCGATGTTTTCGGTGCATTTACACCGCACAGTAATTGTGGGATGGAGCATGTCGCTCAAATCATCTGGATCAAAATCACAACAGAGGTAACGGTGCATGGTTACGGGTAAATAAACCCATATGGTTCATGTAGACGAAAACAAATATCCTTCGATGATATGTCATTACGCGTGTGGGTGTATGCAGTGTTATAAAATAGATAACGACTATATTTAGCCCGGCACCTCCACCAAATTTCCATTAAGCTCCTCAAATCACGGCATTTGTTCGAGTCCTTCGCGATCCTTCCTTGGCCACCACAGAAATCTTTTTTATTTAATTTAGTACCCTTTCATGTCATTTACACCGTTTTAAGCTCTATTTAATTACGGACACGAGACGCGTTTGTTTGTGAATGTGCCACTAAGTAAGGCTTTGCCTTGTTTGCGTCATAGGTCAGAGCCACGGAACTTTAACCCTTTAATCCAAAAATAAGCACGAATGTGTTAAAATAAATGACTCTAGGAAGTGCGTTTGCATAAAAAATTTACTTCACGTAAATGCACTTTAACGGTGATGACAACGTCATCCCGTTAAAGTTAAAAAACGTGTTGCAGGAAATGGACATGCAGGACGAAAATAGCAAACCTACTTCATCGAACAATGTGCCACTAATGGAACGAACTGGAAGTTTTATCAAAATAAATTATCATTGTTGGACTCAAACTTTAGTATAAGAGATTGAGTTGTGTTCTGAACATGACATTTTTTCGCTGATTGATAGAGACTGATGTGTTGTGGCGAGTATTCGTTTAATAATAAAAGAACAACGACGGCGGAATAGAAAAAGTAAATAAATTTTCTAGCATTTCCGATTATCTTTTATCTCAATATTTATTATTAATTATTATAGGAGATTAACAAGTTGTTATTGTTAATGTCACGATATGGTTATTATTGACGTTATTCCGTTTAATTAATCGGTTCTTAGGAACATTATCAGCGCTAATCAGATCAAATAAAGCAAGTTGAATGAACCGCTGATTAAACGGAAAATTTAAGCCGGAAACGTCGTTCTCAAGTCAAAACTAAATCACAATTAAACTTAATTATGTTGTAAGTTTGGCAAGTTATTGAACCGGAAAATCGGCCTTATTATTTTCGTATTTTATTAAAGTTTCGTTCGGGCCATTTAAGTTGGTAGAAGTTAGATAATCTATACCTGCAAAAAAGCTTATTGCATCGATTCCGTTGACGTGGTGTGGATCTTTCACTAAACGTGGCAGTAGCGCTGTAAAAGTTTTTAATTTTGCGCGTTATATCAAAGGGCAATTCACGTTTTAGTGCCATTTACATTCGCCGCTTTGGCTTGCAACGTCGAACATGACTAGATTTGCGATTAAATTTTTTGCTTGCAATTAAACACAGTTTAAAGAGCTCGCGTAACAATGTAGGGATCGTTACGAACAGCGCGTGGTATTTTAGTTTTCACTTTGTGCTATAATGTATGTGTTTGTATGTATGTTCGGCAATACAACACATAAGTTGTTTACTCAAAGTAAATAAAAGTTAACAAGTTCCAAACTGTGTTGTCTCATTTCACCACAAGTGTTCATCGCATCCAACTGGAGTTTTTGTCCAAATAAATGTCGTTGCTAGACTTAAACTTCGGACAAAATAAACTAAATGATCTCTTTTTACATTATTTTCTTTTTAGATCTTTCAAAACGCAACTATTATCGCTTTATTCGTTTATATACGGGAAGTTGTTCGTTTTGGCTGACAAAATAACAAACAACGAAATAACAAATTGGGCGATAAGGCTGATCTCATGTGATGAAAAATTTGCATTACACGTATTGTGATTGAGATAATGAAAAATTGTTTAATAATTATCACGACCGCTGTTTTCCTCTTTAATTATTTTTTCATTTTTGTTGCCTTTTAATCGCAATATGTCAGGGCATTATCTCGTATTAACCTAAATAAAATCATCACAGTTCAATAAAAAGGATCTTGATGAGTTACCAAATGCCGTTATACTTCCCCCTAAGTGCATCTTTGGTTTGCTTCATTTTATCTTCCATTCGTCGAACTTGGTCCTCCCTGCTGTACTGAACTTACAAACCCTTTTTGGTTTTTTACAAACTGAATTTAATCCTTTATTCCAATATCGCGTGAGTAAAATAATAACTACTTCACTGGATTTAGTACAAACATACATGACTGTCTTAATCTCCTAATTGTACACTTTATTTTATGAAGCCCTTGTGGCATTATTACAAAAATTATTTCACTATTTAAAAAAGACCAGCTTTTATTTTTAACGCGGTAAGTGATATCGATGCCAAAGTTTTTCTCTTCTTTTTACTTTACGGTACCATCTAAGAGTTTCAGAATGAATATCGCCTTTCAGCATACTTCGTTAGATTTTTTCCTTTAATGCAGCGTCAAACAGAGGAGTAGCGTTTCACTTCGACAAAGTAAGACCAAGGTTCGCTAATTATGGCATTGAATTTTCACAGCAGCAACGACAGTTTCCACAAGTTTCCATATTCCTGAAACAATGTGTATTTAAGCTCTAGTGCAACACTGTGAGATGTACTTTTATCGATTGGTTTGAGTTCGATGTCGACGTGGATGTCCATGTCTTGACAGTTTTGGTAGCAGTTAAACAAACATCTATTGTTGGAAGCAGCCATTGTTATTAAACAATTTAAAAAATATTTCCTTTGTGAGCTTCCTACGAGCGCTTTTCCCGAGTTGTTTTTTTAGGCGCTTTCTCCTATAATTGAAGTGGATCTTATTCCATTAGCCACTATCCCCGTATTTTACTACTTCCTTCCGTTCTACTCTTCCACAGACCGAACGCACTCTTATAGCAATCAAAGAATGAACACATCTATTAATCATTTAATGGCCGTCGTCAACCCGCCCTCGAACACATAAAAAAAGACGTTCCCTCGTTTATTAAAATTTTATTTCTATTAGACTTTCACAAAGGAACTTTTTCTTCAGTTATTGACATCTTTAACAAAAATGCAAGCGCCGGCCTTAGGCGACGTGGCGAACAGCACCGAAGTAATGTCCTGCGGCTGATGTTTGACGTAAAACTTGTCTTTCAACATCTTCATGTAATTGTCGACGTTCTCTTGGGGCACCAACGCCACCATACAACCACCCCAACCGGCGCCGGTTAACCGAGCTCCGAAGGTCAAGTCCCGAGACAGTTCCACTAACTCGTCGAGTTGGGGATGACTGCACTCGTAGAAGTCTCGAAGACTCTCGTGACTTTCAGTCATCAGACGGCCGAGAGTCGGCAAAGAGTTTTTGTCTGCTGGTTTGCTACAAATGGCGTGGAACATCTCGACGCGGTGAGCCTCTGGTAGAGAAAAAAAAAAATTAGTACGTGGATGCAACATATAAAGTACACTGTCCGACAAAAAAACGGATACTTGAATTTTCTTCTGTTGGGGTTATAAAACTTAGGCAGCGTTGTGGCGACTGCATTGAACAATGAAAGTCGAATATCTTAATTAAAAAAATGGGGAAATCAAATTCGTAAAAATAATTCTGAAGCAATATGGAACAATTTTCGTTACTTGCGAAAAAATACTCAATAATGAATGTCTAGTTATTTACCATTTAGTCAATGGTGCAGAGTTTTCCTTGAACGTTCATATGAGAACGAAGTAGAAACTGAAGTACAATTCACAACCTATATAGCAGCACGTTTTACTGAGTAATATAGGTATTCTCCAAGGCCCTACTGGGGTGAATTGAATATCTTATTTACAGTCAATATACAGGCTGTTTCATAGCAACCCAAAGATTAAATTATTTCTAGCTATCAACATATAATCGTTAGATAAAGCTAAGCCATGTAAATCTAGTAATTTGAAAAATGAAATTTATCATATTGAATTAAGTTGCTTTTAGTGTAGAGTTAGAAAATTTGACAAAAACTAACACTATTGCCAATAAATTCACGCTTTGAATTTTCCTTTACACGCCTATTTTATTGTTGAATTAAAATTTTTCATACAAAACATTTTCTTTTAACATTAGCCACTCAAGAAGACCTGTATCGATAATGGGTAAATCTTCAAAAAATCAAGTCTGTCATAAAGTTGCTTTCAGACTGTTTTAAAACCGCGTACACACAAATACAAACGAATAATAAGCGAACTTTTCTTGTCAACACTGTTAGAGAACTTAAGGTGCTCAAACTGCTTCCTGCAGTGACAGAACTTTCCAGAATAGTAGTTTGAAAGTTACATTTTAGAATTAGTTTTAAAATATAATCTCAAGTTTAATGAATGGGATTTTTAATAAAGGCAAAAAGATTGCATGTACAGAAATAAAACTTTGTAATTTTCTAACTAGTTTCGATCGTTCCTTTTCTCCCTTTCTCTCTCTCTCTCTCTCTCTCTCTCTCTCTCTCTCTCTCTTTCCTTACAAAAAATAATCAGGCATCCGCCCAACACGTTAAAATTTTCCAAGGCATATCTGCCCACATATTCAGCAGCAGATTGCATTACATTCCTCTCTGCACCGGAATGTCGAGGGGTTTTGATTATAATTTACCTCAGGTACCCTAGTATCGACCTGCTTCTAGAACATACGTAAAAATTTCCATTCTTACGACACGTTTAGTAATATGGAAACTTGTAAAAATTTCCCTCTTTCTGCCAGCGGGAAATATTGAACATGCTACTAACGTCTAAATTTGTTTTTTATTGTGCAATATTCTCAAATATCGCTCAAAGTCTAACTCCCTAAATTTGTCTTCCTTTCGCCCACTGTGTGTTTCTATTTGTCATAAGATGCACAATGTCTCGAGTCTCTCAGGGTGAAAGGTGACTGCACCGTATATCGTATCGAAAAATAATCAAATAGAGGAAACTGTCGTGATTGTCAAAGACTTGACACTTCACGTATCGGTTCGTGGGTATGCGCTATGTGTCTGCTTGCCTGGTATGAATACAATATGCAGTCGAACTTGTTTCCGGAATTTCCACGCCCGCGTTTTATTGGAAAATTAGAGAAATTTCATTTACGGCGAAAAATAAGAATGGAATAAAGCGTTCCAGAATTACAATTGCACGAGTATCGATTAACGAAACCGTTTGCTAATTCATGAATTGACAGAGTTCGGCTGAAAATAGATCGCGGAAGTCTCTTTGTCTTTCCTTGGACAATTTGCGAATTTAGCTATGAAACAACTTTTTCCTCCTCATTTATTACCGTTATGAGTGTCCTTTGTTCTGAACGCCTCTAAAATTATCTCGAAGGAAAAGCGACCAGACGTGCCCTTTTCGTTCTAAGCAGGCTTACGCAAGAGCAAAAAGTCCACTACTTACCGCGGAATACATGCAGAGCTCTTTGTTTCAGCTTGAAGGTCTGGATGTGTCTGGTGTTCTGCGTTAGAGATATATCGTTCAGATGGTCGGATGTAGTTTCAAGTTCCCGTACGACTTCCTCTTTAGTATAAGGTTCTTCGTGCAGGGTTTCCTCAACAATAGTTATCATTTTGGAAAGGTCGACGGCAAGGGCTTGTTGCAAATCACCAAGTTTCTTTATGTCGCTCCATTTCAAACCTTGTTTTTTCGCTATTATCTAAAAGTTTGAATTTAAAGGGTTGTTTACGAGTCGGTGGATATTTTGTGAGGCTATTTTTAAATTGGGGTGGGAGTTACCAAAGCGGAGCGTAAATAAATATAGACGAGGATGTGATGATAGGGTTGAAATTGGCGATTGTGTGCACTCTACTACATGCTAGTTAATTTAGGAATGTTGTGTTGGTAGCACCACTTTGTAACGAGCCTCAAAAATCTGGTGCGATTAAAATGACGCATGGGTGTATTAAAACTTCCATCATTTCCGCATTATTGCAGAGCCTGGACGTAAGTTTACACCTGCTGCCTTACCTTAATGATTATAACGAGAAGGAATTTTGATAAGGTAACCGTCAAAGTGAAGATTTTAATTAACTAATATTTTTTGGTCGAAATTTGCTTTTGGTAGTGTGTAAACATATTAAAAAAATGGTTAGTACATGTTTCGCTAAACATTAGTGTATTATATTAAAATATAATTTAACAAAATTGTTGAATTCGTATGAATGAGGAAAAGCTTCCTTTGTGTTATTTTCAAATTCAGGTATTTCACTGAACAGATATGTTTCAAAGAGAACAAAAAAAAAAGGATAAACACACACATTATTAATCATTTATTTGTGTTTATAATAAAATTATTTTATGAAACGGGTAATTTTATATTCGACATATTTACACAGTTCACCGCATACAAAAGCTTCGAATAAATTTAATAAAAAAATGAGTTCACAAACACTGAACATTTTTTTTTCTACGTGCTAAACCCTATCAAAAGACCTATCAAACAAATGATTTAAAGAAAATGTAAATTAAACACTCAAAAACTCATCACGGCTCTATTTTGCCAACAAATTTTAGAAATTATTGGTTTTCTTTTAAGAAGGTTGTAATAATTTTCGTTTGATTTAAAAGGAGCAATGTACCTCACGTAACACTCAGCGTGCATTTATTTCATGATTCGATTGAGACACTGAAGTTCCCTTAATGCCACTCTTTCGATTCCGGAGAACCCTAATTTGATATAAAGTGCTGTTCTGTGGAACACATTCGTCTTGTAAGCATGTAAAGTGGACTTTACCACACTAATGCAATAATAATATTGCTGTGTTGAAATAACTCGCTAAAACTAGTTACATGATTTACATGTTAATTTATTCGTTGTACATTACACAATTTGAAGTCAGGGTCGTGTCATAACCTACAATTTTTATAACAAAATTGATAAAAAAAAATATTTTGTTACTAATTTTACTTTTCATTGTCAAAAAATTACAAATTATCTAGAGAAAATATACAGAACGTACTAAACAAATAGAAAACACCCTGTATATTACAACAATGCGTTTACTACAACGCAAAACTATCTATATACTTATAATTGTTAACAGCCTTAACTAACTTTAAAAAACTTTCGTCGATCTTTTGTCGCAGTCTTTCCTGAAAACCTGTTACGCTTACGCAAGACTTAACCCTTCGTACCTGCCGAATTTGAAATAAGCCGCAGGTATTTTAAATCGCGTATTATTTTTTGATTACAACACATATTTGGAATTAATTTCGCAGATCCTCGACTTTTAATTTTTTAACTGAATGGGCAATTTTTCCAGCATCATGAAAAAAGCTGTAGGCAATTCATTGTTTCCTTTCATGGGTATTTTTTTTTTAAATCTGCTTAAACACGATTTGCAAAAAAAGCTTGAATATTTTCCAAAGGTATTTATTTTATCCCTAAATTTTGTGGTCATTACATTTCTCAAAAAAAGCTGTTTTAATAATAACATTTTTACATATGATAGGTTTTAAAAAAATATAGTTTCTGTTCATAATAAATGAAATGGATAAGTTAGTACGCACTTTTTAGCCTTTTTATACCCATACAAGCTATAAATAAAACAGTGGACACCAATTTGTCCCCTTTTGAATTTTTTAAATTCAACACTTACATTTTACAGACATTAAGAAAAGAAAAATTAAAACAGGAAAATTTAAAGTCGTAAAGCTGAATGAATCATCTTCGCGAAGGCTTAATTAAACTCTCAAGTTGGCACGGCTACTTCTTGTACTCACCAACACTTGCTACAGCGATAAATGAAGCAATTAACACCTAAACTGGCACCGAAGTTCTTAGATGCAATATCAAAACTATGTGTATAGTTCTGCAACGAGCATTTCATTTGAACGAAATGAAATATTTTTACGAGAGGAAAAAAGCACTTCTGGTATACTCACAGAAATAGGTGACCTTATTTCACATGTGTCGTTGTACAGAGGAGAAAATGCAACCACGACTGGAGCACTTAATTATTACCTCATTAATATGAGCTTTCTTCCTTAAAAGCTCATCAGCACGACTTGAATAATGGGGAATCGATTGGGTGTTGAAAGCTTTATGCATCGAAAAATCTTACAAGCTTTTATACCCCGTAATGTCCTGCTTATGCTCCTAACGTCTTATATTACACAGGAAATAACTTATGCAAGCGTTGATAGCACAAAGTCCATTATCATGACGCAAAAGTTGGCGAGTTGGTGCATAGTTGGGGGCAAAGTGCGATTTGACCTAAATGCGTTCCAGAAACAATATTCGTGCCAAATTTTGAGAAAAACAAAATGCAATTTTCTGAACCAATTATCAATAAATGTGTCCTGTACAAACAGCCGATAATAGAATCGTGTTCACGATTTAAGCTACAATCTCTTAAAATTTATTTCCAGCACAAAGCACTTTTAGAATAAAGTTCGCACGTTCAGTAAGACGACCCTCTACACAAATCTCTTTTTTTGTTACCTATATCCCATCGGTCAAACAGATTTAAATCACGTTTCTGATCCTGACACGCAATTTCACCTAGCTTTCTAATTCTCAGAGGAATTCCTACAGGAGCTAAAATGAAAATCGTTTGTAAATAGTTGCTGAATACTGCACAACACGTCGAGTGAAAGCGCAAAGCGAACTGAAGTATGTGGCGACATTTTCGAGAAAGACTACTTCGCAATGATGATCGTTCTATTTATCTTCTCAGAGAGACGAGTACAAATAACAGTCGCGAAACGATTGTTTGTGCATAAATATTAGATGAGCTTGAAATCGATTTGGAAGGAAAGGAAGGAAACTTACCTGGCCGGCAAGTCGACATTCGACGACTCTGCAATTGAAATCTGCCGTTGCAGCCTTGTTGAGTTTTGCTAAACTGTGGGCAATGACAAACACAGCTCCCGAAGGCAGTGTGATATTGGTCGATCTCAAAGGGTTGAACTCGATAAGTTTGGCACAACCTAGGGAAAGGAATAAGATAATTATTAGCACAGCGAAGGGGTTCCATGGATCTGCAAGAAAAATACCTCGTGGCGGTTTGTTTCAATGGATTTTGAAGTTAATGCAAATAAACGAGGGAATTTTCATTAATATTAGGGCTAGTGGTGATGGGAAGCCTATATGTGGTTTGAGTGGAAAATTGTAGGCTATGCATATTTGCCCCGGAAGTAGACGCTGGATATATGTTTGTAGGTAACTAAATAAAGGATGTAAACATGTTATGGAAGAAATGAATTCCTCTGTCCACACTTTATTGCCTATAAAATTTAACGTTTAAAAGTTATGTGACAATAACTTCGGTTTCTAATAAAATTTTACTATTAAAAACTAATGTAAGTGTTATATTATCTTTAAGAGGCGTATGACAGGAATAGCATTTTACAATGTTTGGATGTAGTTCGTAGATTTGAAGATAGTCGATTAATGTTACCCCATAGAGGTCTTCGCCCATTCCCACCCAAAGCCTTTATTTTGTTGATTTCGACTTCCTGACTTTTTAGGGCTTCCTTTCTTTGGATTTTTCTATAATTTTTTCAGTCACTAAAGTGAGATATGACAAAATTTAAAGTATTTTAAAAATTTCCCTTTGAAAAGGAATACTTTGAAAACCAGTCGTCGTGTCGACTAGACAATATTTTCTGTCAGAGATCCATCGTTCCGACGCAAACTCGATTTCTTTCATTATTTTTAATTTCCCATTTTCGTTGTTTATCTGCAATCTTGGTCTAGAACAATGAATACGCAAACGTGTTTTGATTTAGCTCGAGGAAATCTGTCTCCCTGAAGTTTTTGAGAATTTTTGGACAACTTTGCTAAGAGTTCAAATTCTCGGTTTAAAAATATCGGATCTTTTTTCGAAAGCCTTCGAGAAATTACCTTGTAGATTTAGACTTCCAGAAGTTATTTTCGGCCTGACGTCTTTCAAAACTCCTGCCACTTTTCCAAAATCGTCAAAATGAAATATGACAATTTTTGAGATAATTTAAAAGTTGATTTTTAAAACGAATACTTTGAAAACCGATTGCCTTATCGCCTTCTGTCAAAGACCCATCGTTTCTACGTAAAATCGATTTTTTTCATAATTTTTCACTACCCAACTTTTCCGGACTCGCATAAATATGTCTTTAACATACATGTCACTCCCGTAGCAATCATGACATATTTATGCGAGTCCGGAAAAACTGGGTAGTCAAAAATTATGAAAAAAATCGATTTTACGTAGGAACGATGTGTCTCTGACAGAAAATAATCCCAAGTCGACAGGACGACTAGTTTTTGAAATATTCGTTTTCAAAATACAATTTTTGAAATCCTCGAAATTTTGTACATTTCATTTTAGTGATTCTGGAAAAATGGCAGGAGTTTTCAAAGAAATGAGGCGGAAAATAACTTCTGGAGATCTTAAATATACAAAAAAATCTCTTTAGGTAATTATCGATGGTAAACGAAAAAAGATCGAAATGTTAAAACTGAAAATCTGAGCTCTTAGCAGCTCTAAAAATTCTCAAAAAATTCAGGGACATAGATTTCGACGAACTAAATCGAAACACATTTGCGTGTTCATAGTTCTGGACCAAGATTGCAGATAAACAACGAAAATGAGTATTAAAAAATTATGAAAAAAATCGAGTTTACGTAGGAACCATGGACCTTTGACAAAAAATAAACCTAAGTCGACACGACGATTGGTTTTCGAAATATTCGCTTTCAAAATAAACTTTTTGAGATTCTTGAAATATTATACATTTCATTTTATCGATTCTGGAAAAATGGCAGGAGTTTTCGAAGAAATGAGGTGAAAACAGATGGAAATTTTCATACTGAAAAACTGAATTCCTAGCAACATTGTCTAAAAATTTTCAACAAATTGAGGGAAAACGAAATATGTCAATTTTTGAGATACTTATTTTAAAAATTTGATTTATAAAACGCATATTTCGAAAACCAATTACCGTATAGACTTGTCCGAGACCCATTAAAGTCGATTTTTTTCATAATTTTTGAATACCTAGTTTTCCAGGACTCGCATAAATATGTCCTTAACATAAATGTCACGAGTATTTCGGGATTTTCGATGTTTATCAGGCATCTTGGCCAAAACTATGAATACGCAAATGTGTTTCGATTTAATTCGTCTATCTTCATGATTTTTAGAGAATTTTTAGATAAGGTAGTTAAGAGCTCAGTTTTTCAGTGTGAAAATTCAAGCTTTTTTCGCCCACCATCGATAATTACCAAAAGACATTTTTGTATATTTAGATCCCCAGAAGTTATTTTTCGCCTCATTTCTTCGAAAACCCCTGCCATTTTAAATTTCGAGAATTTCAAAAATTTTATTTTGAAAAGGAATATTTCGAAAACCAGTCGTCGTGTCGGCTTTGGATTATTTTTTGTCAGAGATCCATCGCTCCTACGCAAACTCAATTTTATTCATAATTTTTAATCACCCATTTTCGTTGTTTATCTGCAATCTTGGTCCAAAACTATGAACACGCAAACGTGTTTTGATTTTTTAGGGAATCTACCTCCCTGATTTTTTTGAGAATCTTTAGACAACTTTGCTAAGGGTTTAGTTTTTCAGTATAAACACTTCGATCTTTTTTCGACCACCTTCGAGAATTTCCTTGTAGATTTAGACGTCCAGAAGTTATTTTCGGTCTCACGTCTTCGAAAACTCCTGCCATTTTTCCAAAATCCCCAAAGTGAAATTTGGCAATTTTTGAGATACGTATTTTATAAATTTGATTTTTAAAACGAATATTTCGAAATCCAATTACCGTATGGACTTCTATCAGAGACGTATCGTGCCTACCTAAGATCTATTTTTTCATAATTTTTGACTACCTAGTTTTTCCGGACTCATAAATATGTCCTTAACATAAATGTCACGATTGCTCCGGGATTTTCGATGTTTACCTGGAATCTTGGTCCAGAACTATGAACACGCAAATGTGTTTCGAACTTTCGATTTAGTTCGTCGAAATCTATCTCCCTGAATTTTTAAAAAATTTTTGGAAAACGTCACTTTTTTCGCCCACCATCGATAATTAGCTAAAGAGATTTTCTTGGAAATTATTTCCCGCGTCGTTTCTTCGAAAATTCCTGCCATTTTTCCAGAATCGCCAAAATGAAATATGGCAATTTTTGAGATATTTTAAAAATTTCATTTTGAAAACGAATATTTCCGAAAACAATTGCCGTGTTGACTTAGAGTTATTTTTGGTGGGAAACATGGCATTCCTACGCAAATGCGATTTTTGTCATAATTTTTGGCCACCTAGTTTTTTCGAAATCGCGATGAATATCTCCTTAACAAAAATGCCACGATTGTTGCTCGCAATCTTAAATCTATATTTTTCAATTTTTTAACGGTTTTTAGGTAACTTCACCAAAAACTCAATTTTTCAATACCATTGAAAATTTTTGGTTTATTTCCAAGCACAGTCGAAATTTGTCCAAAAAGATTATTTTGTTAATTTTGACCTCAAGAAGTTTTTTTACAGCTTCCTTTCTCCAAAAATTCCTATCATTTGTTTTTCTCCACAGTTGCAAAAATAATACTCCTATATAGCAATTTTAAAATATTTTTAAAACGGACTTAGAAAACGAATTTTTCCTTAACAAAGAGAGCTAAGTAACTCATATATTGCAAGAAGATGGTATTTTCAAGAGAAACTCTGCTGGAACGCACTAATTTTAATACATATGTATTTAGAACCACAAATTAAAGCGGTGATAAGAACTGTTGTCTCCGAGGGGTCGACCCGGATAACTGCTTTTTCCGCACCGTGGAAATTTTGGTTCTGGAATCAATGTCATAGGCGACCAGCCGGGAACGACTTTCGAGGAAAGTGAGAAGTCGTAGAATCACCAATTTACAAAAACCCAAGAACAAAACAATGAAGGACTGAATTTCTGAGGAACAGACGAGTAGAAGACATAAAAGAGGACAACGAAGAATTAAAACAAGTAGCAATTATTGTAGAGTATTCAGAAGTCAGATTAGTGATGCGTTAACAGCATGTCGGTCTGAAAACCAGACTGGGGAGAAATAGCTTTAAAATGTATGAATTCTGGTCGTTGAAAAAAATTTTACAAAGCGATCGTCTCAACTACTTGACTGAACCATTTCTCTAACTATACTGACATCGATCACATTTTGCCTCGGAAATCAGATATTGTTGACAAATTTCTAAGCACCAGTGAACTTCTTTTTCCTGTGTGGGAAATAAACTTCTAGACTCATCTTCCGGTGTTTAGTAGGTTTGGAAATATCGCCGTAATTTATTATCACTAATGTCTTCTATTATTCCTTAAAGGTGTTCTTTTACACGACGGTCGTTCCACTTCATCCTGTGAATTGAAAACGTTGTGCGAAAACTACCAAATACTTAATGGTCGCAGACACAAAAAAATCACGAGTCCGTAAAAATTTAATCATATTTTCAGGATTTATAAGCACCGCTCTGCATACAATAAATCTCCCGGAAGGTTTCATAAATCTGAATGTGTGTAGAAAATATTTTTTGTGTATTTATAACACTCTCAACTTAGAAACACACTTTCAAAATTTATTATTTCTACCACCGAATTGACAACCGTGGACAAACGAAGAAGAGTGATTACTCGCCTGAAACGGCAGCGAAGTAAACCAAAACCTCTTCATGTTTTAGTGATTCTCAAGGGAATAGCTGCATTGTGACCAACGTTCTCTAACAAATGACCATAATAACTCCCCGCGAGTTGGAAAAGTTTCTAATGTTTCAAACTCAACACCACCATCTTTTACACAGCTCTTAACAGGAAGATAGTAAAAAATGAAAACTGTTCGAATTAAACTCAAAACAAAATAATTGGGCTTGGTATCAAAATAAACGAGCCCATCAAAAGTGTGTACACGGCAAGAGAGCTTTGTATCATTGCTTCGGTATATTCGACGAGGCTTTTGAAGTCGTTCAACAAATTGCCGATTTCTGTGATATACGCAGACCTTCCAAAGCTTTAAGCTACAGACCGTGAAATGGTCAATGGATGATAGTCGGACAGGTTACCGTGTTCACTAAGCCCTTTTGCTTTCCCCCGAACCTGTCCCTTTATGCAGGAACAATGAATGGTGACGTATTTCGTCGATTTAAGGGAGTGTACGATAGCTAAACTTTTTAAACGAGTGCGAGTTGCGTCAGCCGCAATCGTGATAATTAATTGCGATTATAGGATGAAAAATGTGACGTGTAAATAAACAGCTGCGGAAAATTACTTAAAACGCCATAATAAGGCTTGCAGTAATCTTAGGATTACTCCATCCGTTGCGCAAAAAAAGTTAATAACGAAGCTGGGGTCTCCGAGGGAAATTCTTTCGCCAATTTTATGCATTTTGACAGGCGGATATCCAATTTTCTTTTAACGAAGTTAGTTTTAATGAGATACGTGACCACGTAGGTTATTTTTGGTGTTTTATATAGACTGGTTTTAATATAGATGTACCTGTGCTCTGAAAGACTTGTTCAACTAAGTAAAATTTCCGTCCCTATCACTAAAAAAAAACTACTAAGCGATTGTTATCAGTACACGTTTAAAAAGTGTGCGGTAACACGAGTTTGTGATTACTACATTATATTTTGAGTGTGCTACTTGAAGAATATCTTTAAGTGAAGGCAAAAAATTATTTTGATATTATTGTACATATTGACATCTGTAACCTCGCTCGATTGGCTCGATTTCAAAACTTTAAATTACGAGACTCTTTCTGGGTAAACAAAGCGAAATAAAAAGGCGAAAAACATTTTATAACTTAATATCAGTTTCAGGATAGTCGATTTTCCGACGAAACGACAAACGGAACTGCATCCCGTCCCATGTTTTAAAACGAATATTCCCAAAAAATTTAACATTGTTACGTGAACTGTATATAACGCGTACGGGCTGCCAACCTGTTTTATAACTTCAGGAAATACGCCCGAATTTCATATGTCCTGAAAACTCGTCGCGCCGTGAAAAGCAGCAAGTTTTTGCTAAAACTGTGAAGTTTCATAACGGCGTGACACCGATAAAAATGAAACATATTGGAGAAAGTAATTTCCCGAATGTAATGCGTAAGGATCAAAATGAATATTAATTTGTCTTGAGTCGAGCAGAGTTGGAGCATTTAATTTTTGGAGTTTGACAGTTCTAGGTTAATAAAGTTGGAGCTCGTATTAATCATTGTAAGATTGATGAGAGGGGATATGTCTTAAAGGCAAACACTCGGTTCAGTGACACGCGACTAAATGAATAGAAATATTGGAACTAATTTTGGGTTTGGACTAGAACAGAAAATAGATTTCCGGACGTAGTCAGCCTCATAAATAATTCATAACTTAACACTATCACAAACATATAGCGGATGACTTACCCTCGGTTGCTAAAAACGCGATAGCTTGGTCCATTCCGCCTCCCTGAGTACCGATATAACGCTCACATTCAGCACACAAATTCGCGATCTTCTCTTTGGACATCGGGAACTAAAATATTATGAGAACATCGTAAATATTCAAATAAAGATAGTAATTTTTAGATAAGCTGGAAGGCATTCGATCTTTTTGTATTCTTACAAGGAACGTAAATCCTAGACAATATCGATATTGAAGTGTGGCTTTTTTCGTTTCTGTCGATATCAATTTCGCTCAAGATACTCTGCAATTTCTGACGAAATTTATTATTTTCGAATTCACTCTCTCGAATTATTCTGCCAACATTCATTTTCCCGTTTTCGGGCCATTGATCTATTGTATGATTTGCATAATTGACGTCATCTAGTGATAGGGGGAAGTTGGAACGGATTCATGAAGGCGATTTGTTCTGGGGCGTGAGCTTAATTAAAGAAAGCTTAATTAACAGACATTTTCGGAATTACTTCTTCATTGAAGCGAATAAGTTGTCTGATTTTATTTTATCCCGAATAGTCTTTGATTTATCCGAGTTGGCTAGCTTAACATCTAAGGTGTTTTGATTTTAAATATTAAGGGCCAAATTTTAAGATTTGTTAGAATACTCAACAATATGTCGGAAGAGTCGGTGTAGGTTCTCGTCAAGTTGCCACGTGCTTGTTACGTTCTTTTCAAGTTCAAGTCGTATTTGAAGATTACAGTATTTCAAGTGTAGTCTACCGTTTACTTACATTGTTGATATGAGCAGTTGCCAGGGCCGCAGCACTAACAAGGGCACTGCTGCTCGAAAGGCCGGCACTTTGTGGAACCTTCCCACTAACCACAACGTTCATACCTTTGAAATCCAGATCCTTAGGCAAAATATCAAAAATGCCTTTAATTCCGCACAGGAAATATTGATGCCACTTGGGTGCTCCATCTCCGATAGAGATCCTTGAAGGGAAACCAAACGTAAATTATTGCTAGCGAATCGATAGAGTTTAAATATGATGTTGCTGTGTGCAAAATAGAAGGCATTTTTCTCAATTTGGATGTAAATGAGCTTCGTTAATTACGTAAGGTTAATTACTAGAAGAATTTTAACATTAAAGTGGAAGCTAACACAAAATGCACGTTACACTCTATTAGCAGTCAATCACTTTTCTTTACATGTTTTCTAGGGAAGAAATAGAATGTGTTGAAAAATACAATCCAAAAGTGTTTATGCACATGTCATATGCATTCCCGCTTCAAACATAATCATTTCAGCTGACGGCAGTCATATTTATTTGCGTTGTATGTACGCGAATAAATTGGAAGAAGATAGATATTAAAAGCGATTTAGTCGTATCCTTGAACATTTCGAAATCTTATTTTCCTGGAAAATCCTATCCAATTTACCGACTGCTCCCTATTACCCTAGGTTTTTTAATTTGATGTTTCAAGGGGTCTTGTTTTTATATTATTTGTATTCCATAAATCATTAGCAAGAATGCCAGAGTCCTTGTTTTTAGATGGAATGAAGTTTGAAACTCTGTATAAATGAAATTCTCGAGGAAGAAGACGAGGTTAAAATAACAATCACAGTCGATAGCAGCGAAATTTCCATTTAATGAAAAGTTGTTGAACGCGGAATTGAAAAAACGAAAAGGGAGATTTTATTTTAAAGTTGTGTTAATGCGGTTTTCACTTTTGCTTGTTAATGAAAGGAGGTTCTTGTTAGTTTCGTGTTACCGTCGTTATTAGTTTAATTAAATTTAATCTCGTTCACAAGGCTATAATTTTTGGACTGGAAAAGATCCACGTTTCATTTTAGTATTTTATATACTTTATAATCAACTGATTTTAACAAATCTAATTAAGCAAATAAAACTAAACATATATCCTCAAACAGAAATGAATTCAATAATGTGAATAAATATCTAATAATGCTGTGATGTTTGCTTAAAAAACACTTCATTGTAGAGTTTTTCGTTATTATTTTATCATATAACAAATTTTTGTCTTATCAGATTAATCGAAAATAAGTAGATACAGATAAAACAGAAAGTTGTTGCAAAATATTAAAAAGTCAAAACATCTCGTATACCGATAATTCTGTTTGTTTAAGATTCGTTTGTTATAAGTTGTTTGCAACACAATATCATAGGTATACGGTTTATTTGATACCAATAACCGATGAAAGTATATATTATTCATCAATCATTATTAATAAAGATAAAATATAAAAAAGTTGTCAACATACGAAAAATTTCTAAGGTCGCACTCATAGTCTGCATAATTTCTTTTAACATTATGCAATCGCAGTGTATTTTCATTTCCCACCCCCACAGCCAGCCGGATATCCTGTTCCAAAGCCATCGGACAAACTCCGTATCCGCAGTAATCGACATGTTCGCCTATTAAATTAACCCTGTACAAATAAACAAACGCAAATTAAATAAACGCATTGTTAGCAAATGAGTAACTCACCTTCCTGGTACGCGGACATAGAAGTCGGGATTTTTCTTATAATGAGCGGCAAATTCGTCCGCCAATTGTTGAAAACGATCGTCGGGCGGAAATTCACGAATGGGGACGTTAGCCGCATCTTTGTTGGACATTTTATAGGGGATAATCAAAGTTTACGTCTGTTTCGAAGTTTGAGGATTTGCACAATGATTAAAGTTTGGTAATTACAGGTCGTCGAGTGGATTTTATCATTTTACACGTCGACAAAAACATAACCTTAAATGCAATTCGTACATATTTGGGATGAGCGAAATTTAATAATTGTGAAGCTGAGGCCATCTGTTAGGAACAGATGAAATTAACTACGTTTGGGTAGAGGATACTACATTTATACTAGCAAAGACAACAACCTCACTAGATACCTGTTTTGAAGTAATGTGAATACTAGCCACTAGAGGTCGCTCTACATGATACAAGCAAAAAAATATTTTTTTGTTTAAATGGCTAAAGGTGGCACTTCTCATACTAAACTGTCTACTTAAAAATAATATTACTGTTGCAGTTATAAACAGCAGTATGTACTCGTAACGTCTAATGTGTTAGGCTGTTACGTAAGTTTGGAAGTCCTATTTTTCCGTTCACAATCAAGTGGGCACTTTCTATTTCTATTTTTTTACCAAAAATTTTTAGAAAATAATATGAATTTAATTTTATTGTAAACTGAATTCAACTGTTATTGTCTTGGAAATTTCAAATAAACCTTAAAATCTACAAATTCGAACATAAATATGCCAGCACGCCTTAAAAAGTTGTCTGTACTTTCTTTGGGTAAAATAACAAAAAATGTATTTGTTTATGTCTCTCCTTGTTTTTTTAACGGATTGACAGTCCTTCGTCAGATCGTATTATAGGGTTCTTATTTGATGAAATAATCCCTTATAAGAAGAGAGAAAGAGTGTCAAGAGTCAAGACACTATATTATTATTATCTTGTTATAATATCCTTAATGGGAGCTTCACAGTTATTCAGTTAAGCGCATAGACTAAGCGAGTAGGTTAAGCGAACAAGTTAAATGAGTAACGTAAGCGAGTTACTTAGGTTAGTGAGTTCAACGAGTACGTTAAACGAGTCAAGTAACCGTAGTAAGTTAAGTTAGTTAGTTAAACGAATAGGTTAATTTAGTAGGCAAGTTAAGCGGTTAGGTTAAGCGGTAAGTTAAGTTAGTAAGCTAATTAAGTAAATTCAGTTAGTTGATGAAGCGAATAGGTTAAACCAGTGCGTAAATTAAACGGGGAAGTTAAGCGAGTAGGTTAAGTGAGTAACTTAAGCGAGTAGGTTTTAAGGGAGCAAGTTAAGCGAGTTATTAAGTGGGTGAGTTAAGCGAGTACGTTACGTCAGTAAAGTCATCGTATAAGTTAAGTTAGTGATTGAATTTAGTTAGTTAAGTTAGTTTAGCGAGTAAGATAAGTGCATGGGTTAAGCAAATAAGCTAAAGATTATATTAAGCATGTAGGCTAAGTGAGTAACTTAAGCGTGTAAGTTAATTTAGTAAGTTAAGTTAGTTAGATAAGCGGTCAAGTTAAGCGAGTCACTTCGGTGAGTTGGTTAAGCGATTACGTTAAGTGAGTATGGTAAGCGAGTAAGTTAAGTAAGTTAATTATTCGGGTAGGCTAAGCAATTAAGTTACGCACATAGGTTAAGCAAATAAGTTAAACGAAGCGCTTAGTTAAGTGAAGCGCTTAGTTAAAGTAGGTAACTTAAACGAATAAGTTAAATTAGTAAGTAAAATTAGTAAGCAAAGCTAGTAAGTAAAAGTAGTAAGCTAATTTAGTAAATTAAGTTCGTCAATGTAGCAAGTAGGCTAAGCAAATAGGTAAATTAAGCGAATCAGTTAAACGACTACGTTAAGTGCGTAGGTTAAGTAAGAAGTGAGTTAAGGAAGTAAGTTAAGCAAGTAAATTAGGCGTCCAAGTTAGTAATTTAATTTAGCACGGTAAATTAGTTAGTTAAACTATGTTGAACGAGTACGTTACCAACATAAGTTAAACAAATGAGTTAAAGGATTAAGTTAAGCGCTTAGGTTAAGTGAGTAGTTTAAGTCAGTAACTTAAATGTGTATGTTGAACGAATAGATTAAGAAAGTAAGTTAAGCGCGTAAGTCAATTTAGTAAGTTAAGTTAATTATTTAAGCGAGTAGGTTAAGCGAATTAAGCGAATAATTTAAGCAGTTGGTGTATAAAATGCTAATATTTTGTGATTTCATAGCAATAATCATAAAACTTAAAATGGCATATTATAGTATTTATTATTTTTATTAATTACTACTTTCGTGTATGAATCCCAAAATTAAAAAACGAGTTGTTAGACGAATTTTCTAAGGGATGAGTGCTCTAAAATGTCTTATGAAACAATAATTATTACTAACAATGAACACAGCAAATTGTCTGAAATAGCAGTCTATATGTTTGGGTCCGGCTATATCTAAATCTAGAACTTGTTTGATATATTTGTTATTTGACAAGGACAGTTGTAATGACTACAGTCTTGAAAATACAAATTCGCCAATTATATTAAAGCACAACAAGTCGGTTGTGAATCCTAAGTATAAAAATTAGGTAGTTATTACCAAAAGCCTTCTATTTTGATGCAAGGACCAGAAAATAATACCTAAATTAGTAAAGAAAATCTACAACTATATAACTCTTAATTATATTGTCACGAAATATTGGACGTTTTCTAAAAATTGACCCAGTTTCAACGATCAGATTATTAGTATTAGGCAACTTTACTAGATTACGATAGATACTGCATAATTACAACTTGATAGATAACATAGATTGCAATTGTATATTAATTGCATGACCTCTTGTTAATTGCGTTATCATCGATTTTACCATACATCACCGCGACTTCGTGAAACTATTGTAAACGTAGAAACCGCGAATGAAACTAATTTTGTAATTAATTCTTTATCCTTGCATCTACTAAATAATTACAAGTCGCTGGAACCCATTAAACATTTAAAAGTACAAAAGGTGGAGATTGGAAAAGAGTTTTGTAGGTTTATCGGTGATCTAACGCGTAATGAAGTGGAGACATTGATTAAGAGCCTATTTTAAACTCAATCTTTAATTCAATCGCATTAAACAAGGCGATCGCAGACAGGATTGCATTGAGGACAACTTTTTTAATCAGTTGATTCCGGAGATTACTTCCTTTGATAAGAATTGATGTTAATGGAATTACTATCGATGTTTTAATTTCGCAGACTCCAACGTTGAAATATAGGGCTTAGGTCTTAATTAAAAAGTTTCATCTTCTCCGGAACTTACATTGTATTTTAACCCGGACTTTTTATCCGACAGCTTATTGTAACCTAAAGGGAACATTATGGATTTTGTTTCAATAGACGTGTGGTCTACCAAGAAATTGTGATAAAAGGTATTTCTAAATCGTTTCTGTTGGCAATTTCACTCCAAATGAGATGAATTTTTTTTAGTCTGTGAATGCAACTTTACATGGTCAAGTTTTCCATGTTTTAGGGGTTCTAAGTGCTCTTTCTTCACATCAAAGAGTTTGGTCACCCTCGCAATAGGGTTTTCGTGGTACAGCAATATTTCTACGTTATAGCCGACTTCCAGGACGTATGTCTAGTAAATCTGTACGGCATTAGCAATTAATAATGCCAGAAATCGTTCGGACAAACAATTTCCTAGCGATTAGAATGATGTGTGGTCTTGTGTTGTGTGTATTACTCTAGTTAATAGCAAAGAAAGCATCCCCTAACTCGATTGTAATCCATTGGGGTGGGAAAGTAAATAGGCTAGTGCCGAAAATCATCGCTGCGCGTAATCACGTGATATATGAGAAAATCTCGCGGTTAATTCGTGGGGTCTGTCCGAACTGCTCCCTTTGGCTTGACGCCAAGCGACCACTTTTCATTACGGAAGCGGCAGAGTTATGGCCACAAAAAGTGGAAAACACGCCCTAAACCACTCTCGAATAACATTAAAAATTACATAATTCAAAATCACGGTTCCGGTTTATGACACTTGTCTGCGTTCGCAGCAAATGGCTACTTCCGATTTAAAATGTGTTCGAACCGAGAGGAAATGCTTTCGGGGGTGATTCACAATGCTTTTGTAGCGGAAACTGAATAATGGCACTAGGATGAAAACAATAGGCGCTTTTCTTATTTACCACCAAGACGCTGATGGCCGATGGTTTCCGGTCAAGCGACGACAATATAGTTTGCGAAAAATTACGAGCTCGACTCCACCAACCGCGACCAGTCGGAGGGCGAAAATTATGGAATATTTTAGACAATAATGGTTACGTTTGCTAAAAATGACGTGAAATTGACAAAAACGACATCAGGTGTGCAAACGATCGTATGATTTTTAATGTACATTTAACGCAAACTAGTTATAATTTCTGTTAGACATGTGTGAGAATATGATATTTATCGGTGATACTCTAGGCCTAGGGTTTGTCGATGAAAATATCAGTTGGTTTAACAATTTCTTGTAGATTATGACCTCTGACCATAATTTTCTTCAAACATTATTAAACACAAATCTTTATCTTTCGTATTTGGTGTTAAATACAAGTTTTCCGGTGTTGAGGCACACGTATTTATTACATTCTTAAATGAAAATTTGTAATGAATAGGCTTAAGTTATTATTTTAGCCGGGCATGAGCTATACCTACAGTATAAGTTATAAAAAAAATCAGCTGATTTTCAAAATTTTTTCATCTTCGTTGTTTAGATCAGTTTGATAAACTAGATTTTTGCTGAACTGGTTTTTGCTTGTATGGTTGTATACCATTTGCGTGCCCTCAAAGCAGTGGTTTTAATACCCTGCATATACTAGTTACCGAAAAGAGATATGCAGTAAGAAAGTCTATTATGTTTACTTCTTTTTGTATTTTAAAACTTTACTTGTCGTTAAATTTCAACGAGTTCTAGTTATCACTAAAATAAATTTAAAAAACTGACTGCCTTTTCCATATTAAATTTTATATGTCACGACAACCTTCTGAAAACATATTTTCTGGATCATTATTTGATAAATTAAAAAAAATGCATAAATAGAAACAAAATATTTTCAGGCACCTATGGTTAATCAAAAATGGGTTAAACATGTTTTTTAATTCTAAGTCATTTTTTCAAACAAGAAACTTTTGTCTATATGGATAAGTATCATTTTCAAGAAAGAAATAAAAATAACAAAATGTATATCCTCCTG